GAGTTGCCAGAAAGAAGCCTTTACTGCGCCAATGCCACAAAAAAGCCCAGTTACAATATGCCCAACAACACCTTGACATGCCTTACTAGGCTTTTGTGGGGAATTGGCACACAAATAGGAAGTAACAACAATGACAGCTACTAATTACAATCATGTAAATTACAGACGTTTAGAAAAACATGCAGAACTAAGAGCAAGAGAATTGTCTCAATCTTATTCACACATATTGTGGAATTAACACAGTACTGTGCAACATGCATACCAACTCAATAAGCAAAGATACTGAGAAATATACTCAGCATTCAGGACAATAGAAGTGGTGCTGTGCAGCATGCGTACCAACAAAACATGAAAAGATACTTCAATTTTCATTCAGTCTATGGTATGTTTTTTATTATTTATAGAATGATCCCTGGTTTCATGATAACATAAATGTCATTGAAATAACTTCTCTTACATTTTTGTTGCAAAGCTCCAGTCTGTTTTGTATTACTGGTCCAGAGTCTAGAAGACAAACCTATAACATTTTATAATCTTTGTATGTTAAATATTTTTTTAGTCTTATTTACTCAAATTCATGCAATCAAATATTAGACTTTTAATGCAGAATACATGTTTTCTATACTATAGACCTTATAAAATTTTACTAAACTTCTATAGCTAGTTATGTAATATCAAATATAAATTATTTATTGCAGGTACTTATATAGCGCCGTCAATTTACGCAGTGCTTTACATATATATTGTAATATATAACAAAATATGTATATATATCTTCAGATACATATACAGGTGCCGCGCTCCATATATACAAGTGATCATATAAATAGTGATATGAAAAAAACTTTTGTGCTTCAAATCAGTGCAGCATATAGTGCTCAACAAATAAATACTGATTCAATACTAAAAAATAGTCCTCTTTATACTTTAAATTTATTCAGTGACAAATTCAGTGCTGTGCCACACTCCCCGTGCTCTATAGATAGATGTGCGCTCACCTCCTTATTTAGCCAAACACAGTGGCTAACAGCGTTTTTGTCCTATCAGGACTGGGTAGTAATCTTCATATTATGTATATATATCCATCCATGCCATGGATCTAACAACACCGAACAATATAACCTGTTGGATATGGTAATACAACAGTCCAAGATTCAGTGCTGAGAACTGTACACATACTATGATAAACTTAACATCTGAGCTCCTTCTGGACTTTAAGGTTCTACAGGTCACACAAACTACAGTACCTCTTCAGTTGCCATGGAAAAACTGGGTTTCCAAAATTGCCTGAATTGTACATTAGAAAACAATTATTATGTCAATTTTTTAGTACTGATATGTAGGCAGGTGAACTTGTGATCCCCTTTACATTACTGGGATACTCCAAGTTTTAGACCTCTTACCCGCATGTTACCTTTTTAAGGTTCGGGAAGAGTCTCTCCATGGTCTTTTGTTAAAATGTAAGAAGTGTGAGGAGCAGAGAGTATTTTAAAACACCACAGGATGGAACCCTTGCATCTTGAATGATGTCAGGGAAGGACCAATGATGGCTTCTGACCTATTGGGAACCTAAAGAGTACATTGAGTAAAAACAACAGTACCATGGAACTGTATGAGAATTTAGCAAAATCCTAAAGTATTACTCACTAACCAAGTTATGGAAAATATTTTATTGGCTTTTGTTTACTATGTATTCTGGACTGCTGAACGTATGCCAAATTGTGGATCCTTGTAACCTGTTTATTGCAAAACATTAAGTAAAGTTCATGAAAACAATTCCTGGCCCTTATTACTTTCTCGTAGCAAAGTAAAGGACTTCATTACTAAGGGTGAAGAGTTAAGAGTGGAGTTGAATAACTGTGAGTTGTAGTACAAACCTGGCTGGCCACAGAGCAGGTGGTGGTTGGAGGAATAGAGTCACCCTCTTGGCAGTGAGAGATTATCCCTCAGGTAGCACACGTCACTTGACTCAGGCCTCTATGAACCATTGCACCATGAGGGTTCAGACTGACTTTGGGAGCTCTGTATGTAGGTGCTCTGGGCAAAAGGAGTTAAAGAAATGTGACCAGGAGGATGAGCAGGAGTACTTGATCTATGGACGACATCTGTGCACGTGGTTAAAAAGTGAGCTTGAAACCAATCAAGTGCCTGAAGTTCTGCCTGCTAAGAGGGTGTTCTCCTGCATGGGCCTGTCATGTGTATAGTATAGAGCAACCCCCCATACAGATAGGCATGCTGCCATTAAAAAAGATGAGCGATCAATACCAACACATCAACCATTAGGATGATTACAGCAAATCCCTGAAGAAAAAAGAATTACTGTCTGCCAAAAAAGAAATTGCCAAGCTTTGCAGCGGTGGAGTGTGCTTGTGCTTAATCACTTTTACTAGTGCATCCAGACATGGAGGGAAGATGCTAAAATTATTAATGAATCTTTGGAAACACATTGCTGTACAATGTATGTAACAATCATGAGTGGGAGCAGGGAAATTAACTTACTGAATGGTGTCTAAAATACTTGACAGGGGAATGAAGTAGACAGGCACTGGCTAACTAAAGCTAACTCTACCTACAAGGCTCTGGAAGATGTGGTATGCAGTCAACAGTTCCAAAATGTGTGCTGGTGCTACTGAGACATTCCAAAGTTTTCAAATACAGAAGCAAGCTTTACCATTACTGGGCTGATGCAATAGAGGCTTGAAGTAAGCTAGCTGTGCTTTCTCAGAGTAATAATGTTGGATGTTACTAGACTACAGTACAACAGGAATCTATAGCTAGCAATACAGATAGGACAAAAAAGAACCACCCTTCAGCACCCTAGAAGCCTAAAAAGATTAATCATGCAAAAGATTTATGAGGCAGTGGACAATGAACACATTGAAAACATAATGCTGACTATCATGCATGTTACATCAGGAGACTTGGAGCCACAGTGGAACACAAAATCAGGAGCACACAGCAAGAAAAATAACAGAAAAAACATACAAGGATACAGCAGTGGCACATTATACACAGGTCTCACTTTCAATGAACTAATGAGGAAATGTAGTCTGCAAAATGAAAGACCTCTAACATCATTATTGATTGTAAGGCCTTTGGTTAATGAATATATCATAACCCTGTAGTTCAATGTTTAAATTGTATGAGCCTATTTTCCTTTTTGTTATGCACACGTTTAATAATATTTCAAACCAAATCTTTTATTCTCGATATTTTACAGAACTTATTAAAACATAATGTTCTTACTTTTAAAAGTTGTTTTTTTTACTTGAATATGAGGTTAGAAAATTTTTAAACAAAATAATCATTTTAAGAAATAGCTTTTATATGAATCAAGGGGTTGTCCCGAAAAATTTTCTAAAGTTTGGGACATCTGTCTCAGTTCCCCTTCCACCAATGCCTCTCCAGAGTCACATTCTGAACATTAGATCCAGTAGGTTGCTTAGTCAGTGTGTGTGGACTCTCTGTGATCTTGTGGGTTTCTCAATATTGTGAAGAGGGAATGTATTTGGCCGATAGGGATATCAACTTTAAGCTTATGGGAGATGCGTTCGTTATTAGGTGACCCTACCATTTCAGCTTTCTGTGGTGATTGAAGTGCCTTGGTTGTTATTTACGTTGCTAAGTGTGTTGAGAGCTCCTGCTGTCATTGATAGTTAAGGACACTGGCAGGTACAGGCACCACTGAGTCACTAAAAACTAGTGGCGTTGTCAGCCCCATTCACTTACATGGCTGGAAATCTCTGGCCATGAATGCAATTGAGCTGAGATAGTTTAAAAAAACAGCATAGGGGTCGCCGTGCATTTTTTGTTACATTTTAAGCTGGAACCCTGCACAAAAAATCAAGATAAAAGGTGTAAGCTCCCCCCAAAAAAATCTATATCGGATCTTCATCTGAGCATGCAGCCTGAAAAGCCAGTAAGGGGGGATGAGTGTAGGTTTCCCCATCCTGTACCATACTAGGCCACATGCCCTTAACATGGGGGGTACCTTACCAAGTGGGGGGGCCTGGCAAAGCACCCTATCCCCATGTTGATGAGAACAAGGGCCTCTATCCCACATCTCTGAATCTGTAAGTCCCTTTTCCAATAACTAGCCCCCAGATACTGGCCTCCTCATGTATCCCTACTCATTCACCAAAATAAAGCGTAAAGTGAAAAAAAATGCAGACACAGTTTTTTGACATCTTTTAAAAAGTCCCCAAAAATTAATCACAGGATGAACAACAACTGTCATTCATGTCATCCAGCAATGTAGATCCAAGTCAACCGTGATGCCTGAAACCTGCCAACCTGCTTGAAAAAAAAAACACTGATCACTGGCACATGTCTGTTCCCATTGCTTCACTTCACTCCTGCCAAATGACTGGTCTGGCAAATGACAGCTGATATATGCAAAGGGGGAGGGTTTCCCAGGTGATGTAATTGATCCTATATGGACTTGACTGTATTTAGTCAAAGGATATCAGTAACATCACTGACTATATATGGACCTCTTATGCAGCATGAAAGAAGCAACAGGACCAGATGTTAGTCAGTGGGTGTCCTTTTGTTTCTTTCAGTAGGTCAGTGGCCCTTAGGCATTATGATTAACGTTTATTGAACAACATGACTGATGATGTACATTTTGGTAGATTTTTTAATTTTTAAAAAATGATTAAACAACTTATCAAAAACTGTCTGTGTTTTTATTTACATTTTACATTTTTGTAAATGCACTTGCACTGCCTAGGTTAATTGCTAGTGGGGGTCATAGAAAAGAAGATTTTATTACCCGATCTTCCACTCCTCCTTCCACTCCACTGAACTCCTAGACCATTCCCCACAGCATCTTCTCCCCCATACTACAGCAGTCTAAGGTCCTGACTAGAGATGAGCGAATTATTCAAAAATTCGATTCGGCTGATTCGCCGAATTCGCGGAATAAATTCGATTTGAGCCGAATATATTCGCTGCGAATTTAACTTATAAAAAGGGTGTTTCTAGGCTTCAGAGAGCCTTTATATTAGTGCAGAACACTGTACCTTTAATTTAAATGCCCTTGGAGTCTGCTGGGGAAGAGAACTAATACTGTCAGTCAGTATGACATGCAGATGAGTGCCGTCGATCTTAGAATCACCGCACACTTCACTCATTTGGGCAGTCACGGGGCCAAAACCAGAGTGTGGAGCCACAGTGTGGCGGTGGAGGCAGCAGCAATGGGAGGCCATACAGCACCCTATGACAAAATGGAACCCACCAGCAGTGTGAGGAGACCTGAAAGTGGCACATGGCAGAGTGTGGCGATGGAGACAGCAGCAATGGGAGGCCGTACAGGGACCCATGACACACTCTGGACCTGGCAGCAGCATGAGGAGGCGGTACAGGGGCCCATGACAGATTACGGGCCTGGCAGCAGCAGTGGGCGGGCGGTGGATGCAGCAGTATTCGGAAGCCAAACACAGGCCTCGGTTAAAAAGCGGAAGCCGTCAGCAGCGTGAGCAGACGACAGAGGCACATGGGCGCAGGGTGGCGGTGGAGGCAGCAGTATTCGGAAGCCATACACAGGCCTCGGTTAAAAAGCGGAAGCCGTCAGCAGCGTGAGCAGACGACAGAGGCACATGGCGCAGGGTGGCGGTGGAGGCAGCAGCAATGGAAGGCCATACAGCACCCTATCACAAAATGGAACCCACCAACAGTGTAAGGAGACCTGAAAGTGGCACATGGCGCAGGGTGGCGGTGGAGGCAGCAGTATTCGGAAGACATACACAGGACTAGGTTAAAAAGCGGAAGCCGTCAGCAGCGTGAGCAGACGACAGAGGCACATGGCGCAGGGTGGCGGTGGATGCAGCAGTATTCGGAAGCCAAACACAGGCCTCGGTTAAAAAGCGGAAGCCGTCAGCAGCGTGAGCAGACGACAGGCACATGGCGCAGGGTGGCGGTGGAGGCAGCAGCAATGGGAGGCCATACAGCACCCTATGACAAAATGGAACCCACCAGCAGTGTGAGGAGACCTGAAAGTGGCACATGGCAGAGTGTGTCGATGGAGACAGCAGCAATGGGAGGCCGTACAGGGACCCATGACACATTCTGGACCTGGCAGCAGCATGAGGAGGCGGTACAGGGGCCCATGACAGATTACGGGCCTGGCAGCAGCATGAGGAGTCGGTACAGGGGCCCATGGCAGATTACGGGCCTGGCAGCAGCATGAGGAGGCGGTACAGGGGCCCATAGCAGAGTGGCGGAGCGTAAGCAGCTAAAATTGAAGGCCATACAGAGGCCTATGTTAAAAAGTCCCCCCAGCAGCAGCGTGGGGAGACGACTAATAGTCGTCTCCCCACGCTGCTGCTGGGGGGACTTTTTAACATAGGCCTCTGTATGGCCTTCAATTTAAGCTGCTTACGCTTCACCACTCTGCCATGGGCCCCTGTACCGCCTCCTCTTGCTGCTGCCAGGTCCAGAGTGTGTCATGGGTCCCTGTACGGCCTCCCATTGCTGCTGACTTCATCGCCAGACTCTGCCATGTGCCACTTTCAGGTCTCCTTACACTGTTGGTGGGTTCCATTTTGTGATAGGGTGCTGTATGGCCTTCCATTGCTGCTGCCTCCACCGCCACCCTGCGCCATGTGCCTCTGTCGTCTGCTCATGCTGCTGACGGCTTCCGCTTTTTAACCGAGGCCTGTGTTTGGCTTCCGAATACTGCTGCATCCACCGCCACCCTGCGCCATGTGTCTCTGTCGTCTGCTCACGCTGCTGATGGCTTCCGCTTTTTAACCTAGGCCTGTGTATGGCTTCAGAATAATGCTGCCTACACCGCCACCCTGCGCCATGTGCCTCTGTCGTCTGCTCACGCTGCTGCCAGGTCCATACTGATTCATGGCCCCCTGTACCGGCTCCTCATGAACGTGGTTCAGCGGGTTTGCATCACTTAACGGCAAATCGTTGACAAACGCTGGGACGTTCAGTGTTGTGCGCATTAAGCCAGACACCAAAGGGCAGCACAGACCTGTTATTACTCGCTCAAGCATGGCTGAACAAAACCAGTCTCTACCGCAAATTGGACCCAGACCTGCCCAGGGTCTCGTAAGTAGATTGCACGGAGGAGTAGAGTTCGTTATTGGAATTAACTGTGAGGGACTTTTAAACCTAGGCCTGTGTATGGCCTTCAATTGAAGCTGCTTCTGCTCCGCCACTCTGCCATTGGACTCTTGATAGTCGTCGACAGCACAGTTACTGTCAGGTCACCCAAAGGGAGGCTTACACTGAATGATGGTTTCTACCTCCTTTCCTGTTGGCTTCCATCTAAATGGTGTACATGTGACTTTCTCCATTCCATGGATTTATCCGGATCTACATTCATATTAGCTTCCTATTGTTCTCGACAGGCCCCTTCTGTGATTGTTCCCCTGAGGAAGCCTGATGAGCGAAACTTGTCGGCATTCATCACACACCGTATATATATATATATATATATATATATATATATATATACATATATATATATGATTTTTGGAACTATTATGTGTGAGATTGTATTTTGACAATGCTCTAAGCCAGCGGTTCTCAACCTGGGGGTCGCGACCCCTTTGGGGGTCGAACGACCATTTCCTAGGGGTCGCCTAAGACCATCGGAAAACACATATTTCCGATGGTCTTAGGAACCGAGATACCGCTGCTGTCTCCGGCGATGTGTGGGCGGGATGATATGCTGCCCCTGTCACCGCCTCCTCGCCGCTGATTGGCCACTGGAACTGTAGCTCAGGAGAGGCGCACAGGCGGCCAATCACCGGCGAGAAGGTGGAGCTTGGAGAGGAGGAGCCGAGCGGCAGCACGCGGAGATCGAAGAAGATCGAGGGGAGCTGCAGGAGCGAGTGAAGAAAGAGGCAAGAGAAGGAAGACAGCTGACAGGTAAGTGCAAATTTTGCTGCTGCAGCCAGGTATGCAGGCTGTAGATGGGAGAGGGAGAGAGCGAGCCCAGGCTGGAGCAGGGGTCAGCAAGGTAAGTATCATTGGTGTCAGTGGAAGGGATAGTGCCCCATCATTTGTGTCACTAATACCAACGATGGGGCACTATTCCTCCCCCCACTGACACCAACGATGGGGCACTATTCCTCCCCTCACTGACACCAACGATGGGGCACTATTCCTCCCCCCACTGACACCAACGATGGGGCACTATTCCTCCCCCCACTGACACCAACGATGGGGCACTATTCCTCCCCTCACTGACACCAACGATGGGGCACTATTCCTCCCCCCACTGACACCAACGATGGGGCACTATTCCTCCCCTCACTGACACCAACGATGGGGCACTATTCCTCCCCCCACTGACACCAACGATGAGACAGTATTCCTCCCCTCACTGACACCAACGATGGGGCACTATTCCTCCCCCCACTGACACCAACGATGGGGCACTATTCCTCCCCCCACTGACACCAACGATGGGGCACTATTCCTCCCCCCACTGACACCAACGATGGGGCACTATTCCTCCCCCCACTGACACCAACGATGGGGCACTATTCCTCCCCCACTGACACCAACGATGGGGCACTATTCCTCCCCCCACTGACACCAACGATGGGGCACTATTCCTCCCCCACTGACACCAACGATGGGGCACTATTCCTCCCACTAACGCCAATGATGGGGCACTATTCCTCCCACTGATACCAATGATGGGGCACTATTCCTCCCACTGATACCAATGATGGGGCACTATTCCTCCCACTGACACCAATGATGGGGCACTATTCCTCCCACTCATACCAATGATGGGGCACTATTCCTCCCACTCATACCAATGATGGGGCACTATTCCTCCCACTCATACCAATGATGGGGCACTATTCCTCCCACTCATACCAATGATGGGGCACTATTCCTTCCACTGACACCAATGATGGGGCACTATTCCTCCCACTCATACCAATGATGGGGCACTATTCCTTCCACTGACACCAATGATGGGGCACTATTCCTCCCACTGATACTAATGATGGGGCACTATTCCTCCCACTGACACCAATGATGGGGAACTATTCCTCCCACTGACACCAATGATGGGGCACTATTCCTCCCACTGACACCAATGATGGGGCACTATTCCTCCCACTCATACCAATGATGGGGCACTATTCCTCCCACTGATACCAATGATGGGGCACTATTCCTCCCACTCATACCAATGATGGGGCACTATTCCTTCCACTGACACCAATGATGGGGCACTATTCCTCCCACTGATACTAATGATGGGGCACTATTCCTCCCACTGACACCAATGATGGGGGCACTATTCCTCCCACTGATACCAATGATGGGGTACTATTCCTCCCACTCATACCAATGATGGGGCACTATTCCTCCCACTGATACCAATGATGGGGCACTATTCCCCCCACTGATACCAATGATGGGGCACTATTCCCCCCACTGACACCAATGATGGGACACTATTCCTCCCACTGACACCAATGATGGGGACACTATTCCTCCCACTGACACCAATGATGGGACACTATTCCTCCCACTGACGCCAATGATGGGACACTATTCCTCCCACTGACGCCAATGATGGGGCACTATTCCTCCCACTGACGCCAATGATGAGGCACTATTCCTCCCACTGACGCCAATGATTGGGCACTATTCCTCCCACTGACGCCAATGATTGGGCACTATTCCTCCCACTGACACCAATGATGGAGCACTATTCCTCCCACTGACACCAATGATGGGGCACTATTCCTCCCACTGACACCAATGATGGGGCACTATTCCTCCCACTGACACCAATGATGGGACACTATTCCTCCCCACTGACACCATTGGTGGGGCACTATTCCTCCCACTGACACCAATGATGGGGCACTATTCCTCCCACTGATACCAACGATGGGACACTATTCATCCCACTGACATCAGTGATGGGGCGCTAGTCCTCCCACTGCAAAATTACGTTATGAAGTAGCAACGAAAATAATTTTATGGTTGGGGGTCACCACAACATGAGGAACTGTATTAAGGGGTCGCGGCATTAGAAAGGTTGAGAACCACTGCTCTAAGCTTTGATTTTAAAAAATCAAATAATATTTTATTCCTATCTATGTAATAAAGATGTTATGGTTTTATCTTTAAGGTTGTGTTGTATTGAATGACTTTGTAAATATAAAGTCCCAAATTTGAAGGAGCATCTTTTCTCTCCTTTTTTTCTTGTATATGTTGATTGGGGATGTGGTGCTGTGGTTCTTCTTTTGACTTGAATACTTTTGTAGCACCATCTAGTGTGCTACTAGAGTAGTGTAGTGTATTATAGGCAAAATCATGTGTGTGTGACTCATGGTAGTTGTGTGAGTCATGTGATTAAGGTTGGATTATTGCAGGTCAGCTGGATGACTCAATAGGTTGTGGTTCTATCGCCTTCTCCTGACTCTGGAGGACCAAGGAACCTTCTAGAAGTGGGTAAGCAAGAAGGGCTGGAGACCTAATCTGCATGGTTATGGAAGTCCAGCCAATTCCAGGTTTGGAAGCCCTGGTAGAATGGTGGACTGGATTATAAATATGGGAGAGTCAGACTGACAGAGGAGTTGGGTTGAAGATGGAGTGCAGAGGAGACTGTCGGTGCCTAGGAGGGGTCTCCTAGGTCTGGGGGGGGGGATCTCCAGGCTGTGCTTGGCCTGGCTCAGGAGGATACATTTAGTGGAGAGGCATGTATGGATCAAGACCAGGAGCAAAGAGGATAGTGTGAGTACAGCAGCATACTCTGGGTTCTACAAGGGGAAAGAATGCCACACGTAGCAATATTTTTAAGGACAGCACTGGGCTTAATCCTTAATCCTTGTCCCGGGAGATCTTCCAAGAAGCCAGGAGGTCTGATAGTGCTTCCAAGATGTGGAGCTGGGAGCAGCTCTATAGGGGGAGAGAAGATGTCTCTGCATGTAACTACGAGAAGTAAAGTGATTTTTGAGGGGCTGCTACTTCCTCACCTGTAATGGGCAGCTGCTTCTGATCAGCAACGACTGACAACGCTCAGGGAAAGAACAGTCCAGAACTTGCCTTTGTATATAGGAGGGAAGTGTCACCCATCCATTGATTCAAGCCAAACTGGGCATTCCATAACCCTTATTTCCCTATGCAAGTTGATTTCCCCTAATAAAATAACTAAGTCCATGGACTGGTCATTGTCTCTGTATGCCAATTGGTGTGAAAAATACCTGTTGCCTG